CCCAGGCTCCCACACGGCACCGAGCTGCCGGGGCCCCCGTGTGCCCCCCACCGAGGCCACCCCTCGCTCAGCCCGTCTTTCCGAGCAGCCATGACGCCTCGGAAGGGTGAGGGCCCAGACTGCCCCCCTGCGTGGGTTTGTCTGACCCGGGGGCTGTGCGTGTCGGCAGGAGCTCCGCGGCAGTGACGTCGGCCCTCAGTGCCGCAGGGCGGGGGCGTGGCGTCCGCACGCTGGGCTACGGGGGACCCTGATCACCAGCGAGGGTGGTGTCTGCCGGGCTTTTCCCTCATAAAGGCATCATGCTCCCTTTGTAACTAATAAATACCGTGGAGGAGGTGCTTTGAAGTCTTGCTGGCAACAATTGTTACTGTGGCGTTTGCCTGGTGATGGTTTTGTACTTCGGTCCTGCTCTGCACATGTACTGATTGGGGTTCTCCTGTACGGAGGAGCCACCCCTTCTGCAGCTGTTTACTTGTTCAGTGACTGATTCACATCGGGATGGACCCGTGGGTATGTGTGTCATGCTGTGGGGTGTCATCCAGTCCTGCCCTCAGTTACTTCCGGCTCAAACCGTTCCAGCTTTGCCCACAGGAGCCCCTTCGGGCTGGCCCCTGCGTTCTCTCAGCCAGTGCCCATGGGTTTTAAGCTCGTCCTTCTTTTCTTGCTCCATAAAACGTTCCGGCTCAGCGTGGGTTTTCCCTGCCCCAGCCCTGGAATCACCCTTTTCTCCGAGGATCCCTGGTTTCTTTTCTTTTTTTTTTTTTTTTTAAGATTTTATTTAGCCCTGCCTGGCGTAGCTCAGTGGACTAAGCGCGGGCTACAAACCAAGGCATCACAGGTTTGATTCCCAGTCAGGGCGCATGCCCGGGTTGCAGGCCACGGCCCCCAGCAACCGCACATTGATGTTTCTCTCTCTCTCTCCCTCCCTTCCCTCTCTAAAAAAAATAAAAGTAAATAAAATTTTTAAAAAAGAGATTTTATTTATTTATTCTTTTCAGAGAGGGGAAGGGAAGGAGAAAGAGAGGGAGAGAAACATCAGTGTGTGGTTGCCTCTCACATGTCCCAAACCGGGGACCTGGCCTGCAACCCAGGCATGTGGCCTGACTGGGAATCGAACCGGTGACCCTTTGGTTCACAGGCCCGAGCTCAATCCACTGAGCTATACCAGCCAGAGCTAACGTATCAGAATATTTAAATCTAGGAAGCAAAACCAGCAGGACATTGGATAATGAGACAAAACCACAACTGCAGCTAGACATTTGAGTGCACAAAGGTAGGAGGACGACGGAGTTCCAGCTGACGGCGACTGAGGCGGCCGCCAGCCTGACCTGGTCCGCGTCCCCAGGGCGCTCCTCCAGCCGAGGACTCGGAACACACTCAGCCGAGGGCGCACGGAACAGCCAGCACCGTGCGGAGCACCGCACAGAGCTCAGCACACGTGCAAGGAGTAACATCGATGTGCGTCCTGAGACCACAGCGGGGTCCAAACCAGGAACCGCCCCGGCCAGGTGGCTCAGTGGGCGGAAGTGCCAGCCTGCGCGCTGGAAGATCGCCGGTTCGGCTCCTGCTAGACTGCAGGTTCGATGCCCATCAGGGCGCGTGTGAAGCAGCTGACTGCTGCTCCTCTATCACATGGATGTTTCTCTTTCTCCCCCTTCCCCCATCCTCTCTAAAAATCAATCAACATATCCTTGGGTGAGGATTAAAGGGGAAAAAAAAACAGAAACCAGTAACAGAAGAAATCTTAAGAAAAAAGTCCAACGTCTGGAAATGAAACCGCACGCCCAAAGAACCAGAGATCAGAGAAAGCACAAGGGACACTGGAAACGAGAGGACACGTCCACACGTGGAGGGTCCGAGGGCCCGGGGCTGCCGGGAGGAGTGCGCAGCGCTCCGTGTTTGCGGTAGAAAGAAGCTCTTCCGAGGTGGCTCCGTCCGGGTGGCCGGTCAGTCACTGGCTCTTGGGAGACCTCAGCTCCTTGCCCACTGACCTCTTCACAGGCTGCTTGCGTGTCCTCACCACCTTATGGCTGGCGTCCCCCGAAGTGGGTCATTCCCGCTGTTCTTAAGGTGACCTTGCCAAGGATAAGGTCGCGTTTAAGTCTGGAAACAGGCGGCCGCTTCACTGATTCCCACGTTAACAGCCCGCGCTGCCAAGTCTGCGCCTTGGCAGACTTCGACAGCATCACCTCAGATGCTGAGCACGAGAATGCACCCAACTGTACACGCTGTGGCGGGCTTAGAATGAACGAGGACAGGCAATGTCATCCAAGCTAAACACGACTGCAAGCCAGCAATCCCACTGCTAAATATGCACGGGACAGAAACGTTTGCACATGTTCCAGAAGACAGAGCCCAGAATGCTCACGGCAGCCCCTTTGGAAACTATTCAAATGCTCCTGACAGAATAGATACGTTGTGGTATCTCCACATATGGGAATACTATGTAGCAATGAGAATGAACCACTTACAGCCAGTGCAACAACGCAGATGAATCTCATCCAGAAAGTTGAGCCAAAGCAAACTAATCTGTTAATCAGCCCCGGCTTCAGGCTTCACCGGGGAAGAGGGAGTGTGAAAGGCTGGAAGGAGCCAGGGGGACCTCTCAGCTGTTGGTAAATGCTCTGTTTCTGGTGGGGACTGTCACACAAGTGTGTCCAGTTGGTGACATTTCAGTTTGTGTATTCCAGGTGCACTTCCCAGGTGTATACTGCACTTAACATGAAAAAAGCAGCAGAACCCTTAGAATTAAAAAAGGTGATATAGCCAAGTTTTTAAAAATCAGTGAGTTGGAACAAAGCACAATAGAAAAAAAAAACTGACAAAAAGGGAAAAATGCAATTAAGGGTGTATAAGAAAACCAAGTCCTCAGCTCCCACAGTAGGGCCACAGGCAAAACTGACAAATCAAGAAACTGCTTTGAGCCCTGGCTGGTGTGGCTCAGTGGACTGAGTGCCGACCTGCGAACCAAAGGGTCGCCAGTTCAATTCCCAGTCAGGGCACATGCCTGGGTTGTGGGCCAGGTCCCCAGTGGGGGGTAAATAAGAAGCAACCACACACTGATGTTTCTCTCCCTCTCTTTCTCCCTCCTTTAGTAAAATCTTAAGGAAAAACACAAGATTGCGAGATGCAAATTGTGAGACGGCGGTGGACCTGCCTTCCTTAAAAAGCCAGACACGGAAGATCGGGGACATGCTGCTCCAGATGAAGCGTTAAGAGTCGTAAAACCCTTTAATTAACAACGTACGACTGTCATGGGTTTACCAACCAGGAAAGTCTCTGGGACAACTGGGGACAAGTCAGGAAAGACCTGATTACCAGTCAGGGCCTCCCCAGGAATACAGCTCCTGTCACCGGTGACTGGCCGGGACCTCTGACGAGAGGACTACTCCCAGGGGCGTGGACAGGGTTTCAGAACCAAGAAGGAAGCTGTCTCTGCCCCTGGCGCCAGTGGGGCTGGAGCCCCATAGGCCTCTGTCCTGACGGGACACAGCCCAGCAGGAGGGACCCTGCAGAGGAGGGGGCTGTGCCCCCCTTCTCCCTCCCCCAACACACCAGCTGCCTGGCTTCCTCTGGCCACACCCACCGGGAGCCCGCAGTCCACGCAGTCCTCGCGTCCTGGGACAGAGGGGAGCAAGGGTGCCTGTGTGGGCGAATGGAGACCGACCCACAGTAGAGAAGGAACGGGGGGGTGGGGGTGGAGGTGGAGGAAAAGGTGGAATGGGTCGTGGTCACAGCCAAGCGGGCCACATAATGTGGTCTGTCCAACCACGCATGACCTTGGTAAGGATGGAAGTAACGTGGACGCAACCACCAGGAAGACATAAATGACCGTGGCCCTCCCCGCTCCGCTCTCCTGACCCTTCTTCCCCTGGGCGCCACCCTGCACTGCCTGTCACTGCCTGTCAGGTGTGTGTGGGCGAGAGGACCGGCCTCAGACAGCCCTACCCCCTCCGCACCCCAACCCAGGGATCCTCCCAACCTGCCCCTGCGCCCGGATGACCGGGACCCAGACACGTGTTTCCGACGCGAGCTGCCCGCCAGCAGGGACCACCATGAAGGTTTAGGGGGAGACGTCAGCCTGAACGCAGAAGAGCAGGGTTGCGGTTTTTACCAAACGAACGGGCCAGCTCATTTTAAAGGAGTTCATCAACGGGGGTCAGTGAGCTTTTCAGTGGAGAGCCAGACCAGCAGTGCCCCACCTTCGAGGCACCAGGGATGGGGTTCGTGGCAGACAGCTTTTCCACAGATCGGAGTGGGGGGGGGTTTCGGGAGGATCCAGGAGGGTCACACTCAAGCTCACCTCCTGCCGTGCGGCCCGGCTGCGGACAGGCCCGGACCGGAGCCCACCCACGGCCCGGAGGCTGGGGCCCTGGGCTGGACAACAGGCAATGTGGCCGCTGTGGGAGCAGGGACAACGCAGGCCCCCACCCGAGAGGACGGGTGTGACCACACCCCGTAAAGTTCTACTCTGGGGCACAGCGGTTTGAATTGCGTATGACTTTCAAGTACTGTCATCCTTTTAACCGATTCACAACCATTTGACGCTGTGAAAACCATTCTCAGCCCGCAGGCCGTACAAAGCCGGGCAGTGCACAGGACTGGGTCTGCAGACCGGGGTGCTGACCGGCCTTAAGATCCGACACCCACAAGGGCACACCCGAGCCCTCTGCACACCAGGCGCTCTGAAGCAGGTGGCTGACGAGAGCGCTCCCCGCGCCCGACACGGAGCCCCTCCCGCACAAGGGCCACGGCCCGGGCCCCCCCTGCCGCCCGGGGACCCCCACTGCACCCCTGGTCCCCCCTCTGCCTGAGCACGTGGCAAACCACAGTCTTCACACAGATGTGCAGGGAAAAGCAAGGCACGTGAGGAGAGCGGGAAGCGTTCCAGCCCCTGCGTCGTGGAACGGCTTGTTTCCCGGCACCCGGGGAACCCCGCGCCACCTTTTTCTTCAGACCGAAAGTGGACGGCTCAGTCGCCCACAGCACACTCATCAAAACCGGTTTTACTCAATGTATTTTGAAATTAGATCCACGTGTCGCTGCTGAACATTCCCAGAAGCTGCGAGCAGCTCTCATCGTCACTGACCGGTGATGGGATCCAGCCGCCACCCTGTCCTCTGGGGCGTGTGCACACGGCTCCCGTCAAAACAACGCACACATGCCAGCAACCACCTCCCAGTGGACGGCGCCTCCGGCCTGGCTCCCGCGCCCGCGCGTCTTGAGGCAAGTCCGCTTCGCCGCCAGCACGGCCGCCGAGCTCTCACGCCTGCGGCCGAGCGGGAGCCCCTTGCTGCGTGGGGATGGAGCACGTGGCCAGGGCCGCGCCCGTCACGCTGCCTGGGCTGCGATGGCCCACCGTGGCGAGTGGCCACCAGGGTGGACGGTGCAGTTCGCTGCCTGGAAGGACCCGCCAACAGGAACAAAAGGAAAACACCCATCGTGCTGGTGTAAAACCGTTTGCTTGTGGAGTGCCCCGGGGGAGGGCGCGCCAAGCGTGGGCGGCACTATGGAACAGAGCAGAGGAACCAACAGGCGCTGCGGACACAGGCCCACATCCCCCCAGCGTGAAGGCGAAGGGCTCCCGGGCTCCCCGCTGCCCGCTGGGGCGGGGGGAGGTGTCCAGCTGAGCCAGCACAGGGTGCGGCCTTCCAGTGGCAGCAAGGGCACCTTCAGCAGAGCCTCTGTCAGCGACAGGACACTCTGGAGCCCAGGACACCACCCATCACTGGGACAGCCCCAGTGTCTGCGGAGCTGCATAGCCCTCACCAAGTGTAAGTGGGCAGTGACGTCCCCGTTTTCCTTCCTGGGAGCTGCCGTCAAGGGGGGAGAGAAAAACCTGTCTTCCGGAGCTGGGCGAGCCGCACCAGGGCTAGGACGAGCCACACCAGGGCTAGGACAAGCTGAGCAGGGCCTGGGGTGACACACGTCGGGGCTGGGATGAGCCGCACCAGGGCTTGGACAAGCCACACCAAGGCTAGGACGAGCCACGCCAGGGCAAAAACGAGCCGCACCGAGGCTGGGATGAGCCGCACCAGGGCTAGGACGAGCCGCACCAGGACTAGGATGACTTGCGCCAGGGCTAGGACGAGCCGCGCCAGGACTAGGACGACCCGCGCCAGGGCAAGGATGAGCCGCACCAGGGCTGGGACGAGCCGCACCAGAACTGGGACGACCCGCGCCAGGGCAAGGACGACCCGCGCCAGGACTAGGAGGAGCCGCGCCAGGACTAGGAGGAGCCGCGCCAGGGCTGGGACGAGCCTCGCCAGGGCTGGGACGAGCCGCACCAGGGCTGGGACGAGCCTCGCCAGGGCTGGGACGAGCTGCGCCAGGGCTGGGACGAGCTGCATGGGGGCTGGGACCAGCCGCGCCAGAGCCACGACGAGCCAGGACGAGCCAGAATGAGCCGCGCCAGGAGCAGGACTAGCCGCTCCAGGACGCCTCCCCGGACTTTGCCCTCTTGGTCTGCCTGTTGGGCCCAGGGGGCGGGTTCTTGTGTCGCTTCTTCCGCAGCTGCTGCTGCAGCCTCTCCTGCTTCTTCTGCAGGTAAGTGGCCATGTTGTCAAAGGTGGCCTTGTACAGACTGCTGAAGCCATCGTTCACGCCGGCAGAGCCTGTGCGGGAGGAACGGCACAGATGGTGACTCGGGACGCCACCTCTGGTGGCAGGACCTGGCGGGCCCCGGAGACCCTCCCACAGCAGGGAATGGGCCCGGCGACAACCTGACCACCTGGAGTTCTCTGTGGACTTCTGGCCCTTCTCCACGTTGGCCCCCAGGGGGCCCACTCCCGGTAGCCTTATCAGCGGGACCCCAGACTTGCTTCTAGCAGAGCACGAAAGCTGGCTGTTCCTGAGACCACTCACCTGGAGGGAAACTCCACGGGGCCCGTCAGTGACGCACAGGCCTGTGCCCCCACACATGACCTCCGCCTGCCCTGCGCGGGTGACCTCCCAGTCCCCGAGGCGCTCTCACCCTTCCGCGGTTCTCAAGGTCAACTTGCCTTCCCCGCACTCTCTTCCCCGAGCCTCCCCACAACCCGCGCTGGAGACGGGGTTTCATTGCAGAACCTCCCAGAATGACGGCTCCGTCCGTGGCCGTGGCCGTGGCGCCCTCACCTTCCAGCATGGCCCAGTTCCTGTGAAGGTGAGCACTGACCCTCTGCACCGCGGCCGTCTCAGGCACAGTCTGGGAGGCAAAGGGAGAACCTGTGTCAGCAGGTGCTGCTGGCGCGGTAACGGGCAGCGCTGCGGGCTCCCCACTGCGGGCCCCGGGAGAGGCGGGTGACCGCCCCGTGAAGGCCGGGTGCAGCCGGCTGACCGAGCCCAGCGGCCGCCGCCTCTCGTCGGGATGAACACCCACGACGTGAGGGCTGCCGGCATTTCACGTGCTGGCGTGTCACGTGTGACTTTATCTACGAAGCCTGGCGGGCCTGCCAGGGGCCGGCCGGTGGCACTCTGTGCACTGCCACCTCTCCGGTAACACGACCTGAAAGGCTCAGGGCTCTCTCCAGAGCGCGCATACCAGCGCACAACTGCAGAGGACGCGGAGGTCCGCGAAGATCTGCGGCCATGGCGGTCCTGCGAGATGCGGGACAGGAGGGCAAGCACGTCCCCGCTCTGTCAGCGGGGGGGACCGACCCAAAGAAGGCGCGGGTTTGCTCGGCTCCCAGGCCTCTCGCCACACCCGGGGGCTCCCCTAACCAGTGGGACCAGTGCCCCAGGCCAAGGCCTTGCTACGCGGCAGACATCAAGGACACACGCCAAGTCTCCGCCTCTCTGCTAAAAAGACCGGTGTGACCAGGACAGGCACAGAGAAAGCATGCCAGATGGGGGTCCCCAAAAGCCTCCTGCAGGCTCCATGACACGCCGGCCAGTGTCCCAGCTCCCTGGCCCCACGACCTCCTCAACCCTGGACACACCCTCTGGCACTCAGGTGTGATCAGGCGGAACGGCGTGACAGCTGGGGCCCACGCCCACCCCAGGCTCAGGGGACAGCGGGGACCCAGCACGACCCACCTGCCACCGGCCGTCCACAGGCCTGCAGAGCACGAGCGGGGCTTCCTGGCAGTCCTGCAGCACCCACAGCCCCTGGCTCTCCTCGAAAGCCACGTCCCACACTCGGTGCTGGAAAGACAGCTGCTGCCTGCAGACCAGCTGCCGACCGGGGGCGTCCAGCCGGAAGATACAGACCACGGGGAGGCTTCCCACGAGAAAGAGGGAGAGTGTCACAACTCCCGCAGCCCAGGCCCGCCCGTGCCGGGGACCTGGCCCTTGCCAACGTCTCGGCTACCCCGAGCTAGGAGCACCCGCTGAGCGCTCCCAGGGCCCTGGGCCACAGGCCAAGAGGTAAGAAACGCCCGCATCACCGAGTCCTGGGGCAACGTGCGCGGCAGCGAGGGCAAACAGGGCGGTGTGGAGAAGACAGCCCTTCTACCTGCGGGGGTGGGGGGGGGAACAGGCGGCACACCTCCGGGCCAGCACGGTTACCCTCCCGAAGCCTGCGCCCTCATTTCTAAGACAAGCTGAGATGCCCTCCCAGGACCTGTTTGTTACGGGACCAGCAAGGAGGGGGCACAGAGAGGACGCTCAGGAGGAAGCCGCTGAGTGGCGAGTGCTGCCTGAATCCGCCTCATCCACCACTGGCCCTCGGGCGGGAATGAACGAGGCCGATTCCACCGCCACCGACCCCCCCGGTGGGATTCGGTCACACACGGAAGACCAGGCAGAGGCCCTGCTTCTGTACCGCCGACCCCCAGGTGGGATTCGGTCACACACGGAAGCCTTGCTACTGTGAAACGGTGGATGTGAGGAGCGTGTGAAGAACGCCATCACAAAGGGACCGCAGCCACATACCACAGCCCTCGGGAAGGGAGACCCCTGCAGGCCGCTGCGGCACCCGCACACCGAGCAGGCCTCCCGAGCTGGGAAGGCGGTCTGTGTCGTGCCCCCTACCAGCTGCGGGGTGCGGGGGCGGCGGGGGGGGGGGGGCCTGGGAACAGCGAGCTTACCAGTCACACAGCAGGGCCACCCAGCTGTCCCGGCTCCAGTAAGTGATCCTGGACACGGCGAACCTCTGAAAGGGGGACAGCGGATCAGCTGCGTGTCGGGGACCCACCGCCCACTGTTCCACGCCCGCTGGGAGCACACACTGCCGGCAGACTGGCGGCGCCCACGGGTGGCCCAGGAAGGAGGAAGGGAGGACGGCGCCGGGCCTTTCTGCCCACCGCTGCCCGCCTGCTTCACCGTCACTCCAGCACGCCGCGGCCCACGGCCGTCCCCGGACTGTGGAACGTCTCTGAAGCCAGCAGAGTCGGTCAGAAAGCAAGGGCAGAAGGGCACGGAGAACAGGAGGGGGAGGAGGGACTGTTCAGGTCAGACACAGCGGGGGTGAAACGCTGATGCCGGCCAACAGAGGCCGACCAGGAAGGGCCTGGCACTCCCCCGGCCGGAGCAGGGCTGCCCTCAGCTCCCGGAGGCCGGATGCACTGAGTGGGTGGGAAGCCTGCTCGTCCTCAGCCCCCCCATCGCCTGCTCTCCCCCCTCTTAGAGAGGACCCCCGCCGGCCGCACAGCCGGGGCACCAGGGTAAGTGAGGGCACGAAGATGACGGGCGGCCACAACTAACCAGGCCTCTGTCTGCCACAACTTCCACGGCTGCAGAAGCCCAGGCAGGAGGCACCCACGGGCAACCAGAGCAGCTGGAGCCACTGACCAGGCGGCCCCTGCAGGCACGTGGCTGGGGGTCCCGGGGGCCCTGCCCCGAGTCAGGCTCGGCCTCAGCCTACCGAGGCCGAGCGTTCTCGGCCCAGCGAGAACGCCGACAGCGGAAACAAGCAGCCAAGCAAGCCGGGACCAGGCAACAAGCCCTTCACCCCACGCCCAGGCCTTGTGAGGCACCAGGGAGAGCCGGGCTCCCCAGGGCTGGCAGGGTCCCGAGTGGGGACCACAAGGGGCCACGCATGGCATCCCTGGGGACAGGCAGAGGGCGCCCACCCCTGCAGGCCTGAAGAGACACGACAGGGGACCCCTCGTCCCTCCCCACCAGGCCCCGGCGGGCCGTCCACGTGTGACCGACCGGGACCCAGGCCGCACAGAACCAGCTCAGGAGCATCCGAGCTGGGTGTGCACGAGCACAGAACCCTGGGGACCCCGAAAGACAGCCCATACCTCCCCTCCCACCACTGAAAACCTCCTTGGCAACGGAAGGCCCAGGTGACCTGACCTGAGGGGACCCTGAGATTAGTCCATGACGGACGACAGAAGGTGCTGAGCGGGCACTCGGCCGGCTGCCCGGCCGATAGACGCACAGCCAGCCTCTCTGCCCCGCTATTTCTTCCGTTTCCAAGGGGATCAGGGGCCTTCCTGTAAACTAACTGTTCGAATGCAAGCATGGTAAGACACAAATTATTTCCCACTCACTGACTAGCTGCCTTCAGAATTTGAAATACGTGATTTCTCCCAAGCTGGAAGAATTGCAGCTGCACTAGCAGCGAAGAAGTGTTTCCAATGTAAAACATTCTTTTCACAAGACGAGTGACCAGCGAGGCGCCCCGCCAGCCCCCACGACCAGAGACAAACGAGGTTACCTTGTCGCTCCAGGGGCCCGCTGGCTCCTGCGGGCTGGCCAGGTGACAGCAGTGCAGCTCGCGCCCTCGCCTGTACTCCCAGAGCCTCAGGGTGCAGTCCTGCGCACAGGGAGGGGTCAGCGCCCCTGCGGGACGGGCACCCCCACAGGTACACGGGCTTCCACCGGGTCACGGGGACGGTAACCCCGGGACAGCCAGGGCACCCTTCCCACACAGCAGCTCTTTGCTCTAGAAAGCTCATGCAAGGCATTACGAAAAACAGGTGGCCCCACACGGCAAAGTGGGCAAAGGACACACGACCACCTGATGTCACAGGCCAGGCTGTACTCAGGGCAGGCACGCGTGCACACACGCGCGCACAGGCACATCAAAGACCAGGCATTTGCACGAGACACGCGTGGGGCTACTGAGTGTGCGTCAGCAGCAGTGGGGGCGGAGCCCAGGTCCCTGTGCGGCTCAGAAAGAGGTTCCTCTACCAACTGTCTGAACCGAGGTCACGGTGTTATCACAGAGGCCACAGCAGCCCGCAGAAAGGACTCCTTGCACACCCACTCTAACTCTGCACACACACAGACGTGCACCTACACGCACACAGACCCGAGCACGCAGTCACAGACCAGGAGCGAGGCCCGGCCGGCTCTGAAATGCAGGAAACAAGCACCACCTAGTGGGCAGCCACCAGTGAGGAGCACACTGGCTTCCGAGCCACAGAGCCACAGCCAGGAACAAAAGACAAGCCCCTGCTGGGTCCCAGTCCTGACAGAGAGGACCCCGGAGGGGTGGGGGCGGAGGCGGGGCGGCACGCTCACCCCGGATGAGGACAGCAGCAGCTCCGGGTGGTTGGGCACCACAAAGATGCGGCTCACGAACCTGCGGCACAAGGAGAAGCAGGGTGACCTGGGGTTCCAGTGCCGCTGTGACACGGCGCTGCCGTGACACCGCGAACCCCGTCACCTCGCCGAGAAGCCTCCCACCCCCTGACCCTGACGCCAACCGCAGCTGAGACAGAAACAGGTGGCCATGTGGAGGGCGACGAGGGAGCCAGGGGAGCAACACCACGGCCCCCACGGAGGACGGCCCGCAGGCCCGGCGAGGCCCCCGGCCACGCCTGCTGGGGGGACCCACGGTGTGCGCTCGCTGCTCCCGGCTGCCCTGCGCACATCCCCTCAGCCGACCCCCCAGAGACTCGCACAGAAGGGCCCTGCCGTTGAGCCCCCAGGCAGAGAGACCTGGAAGACAGCGGGGACGGAGGAGCGGCCACACTGCCCAGAGGCCAGAATCAGACCAGCTGTTCCTTGGCCCGAGGAACCGCCTCTCCCCAGACACCGGCTCAGGCAGGGCAGTCGGAAGCCAGCCTCTGGTCCCTGTGAGGGGGATGTGATCGGCTCCCTAACGCACAAGCCCCGGGGACCCCTCAGAAGGGGCCGTGAGTGCCCTCTCGCCCTCCCTGGCCGCGGCCCCCCACCAGGCTGCCTTCCGGAAGGCTGTCATCTCGGGAGCTCCGCTGAAGAAGGGACAGCGCAGTCACGGGACCACCGCAGCCCGTGCCCGCCACGAAGGCTCAGGATGGGAGTCACCTCGGACTCACCAGGAGAGAAGCAGCAACCAGTTTCTGCCGCTTCTAAAGGAGATTCTTAAAATTCGCTGATGAGCTGTGACTTGCTCACAGAAGCACCTGCCGAGCACCTGCCGCTTGCCGGTCGCTGTGCCGAGGACCAGAGACAGCGACAGACAAGAGCAACGGAGGCCCTGCCCGGCGAGGGGACCAGAGAGACAGGTCAGGGACAGGGAGTGTTGGCAAAGGGCTCTGCACAGTGCTGGCCGGCAGAAACACAGCACCGGGGTCATCTTCAAGCGGCTGCGGGTGACCGTGCCACCAGACAAAATAGACACAGGTGATGTGAACCCTCGTGCTATGCTCTTACGTCACTCCATATGTCCAAATCCTACTGTTTCAATCTGCAATCAGTGCAACTCATAAATGACGGCCATTTTTGCATCCCTTTTCACACTAAGTCTCTGACATCGGTGTTCTGCACGACGGGCGTGTCTCACTTCAGACTGACCCACCGTGGCTCCTGAACTGGATGGCACAGGCTGAGAAGCACGCTGGGGGGTGGGGGGGGACAGGGGGGCCTTCCTGGGACGGCAGGGGGCAGGCAGCGGAGGAAGGAGAGCACCGGGTGCGGCACCGTGAGGAAGACTGTGCCCGTCAGTGCAAGCCGCACGTGCAAAGACACCGAGGTGGAGGGGTGCCCGGTGGGGTCCAGAGGCCCCAGCAACGCACAGCGACAGGCAAGGGCTGGAGGACTGGCGGGCGGTAAGAACTGCGGGTGCTGACTAGGGAACAGAATAAAAACCCGAACAAGCTGTTGTGACGTGCAAACTCAGTGCCGCCGGCCTTTCTAAAGGTCATTTGTACCATCCATTCAAAATCGAGGAAGCAGGAGCAACCTCAGAACCTAGCAACATCCCCCCAAAGTCTCCCACTGCCTCGAATAACGTTACTTTAATTATCTCGGCCAACCAAACTGGTTTTCCTCTGCGTACACTGCAGTTAGCCCTCTGCCTGAGAAGAGAGCGTTGCTCAGAGACGCCTCCCTTACAGAATGCCAAAATTCACCTGCAGAGAGCGCTCCCTCGCACAGGTCAGAGACCACGAAGCGACAACTGCCTGGGTGCAGACTTTTTAGCTCAGGGACAGGTAAACTGCTCGAGTATGTCCCTCATCCCCACCTGGTGACTGCTCACCACTGCCGGTGTCTACACTGAGCAAGCGGGGTGTTCCTGAACAAGCCCCCCGCCACCGCAGGTCGTGGGTAACAGACTCGGAGCAGCCACTCCGAGTGGGGGGCTCCCAGCCGACGCACACGGACCCTGCCGGCGGGCGGCCAGCGCCATCCAGGGTGATGGGACACTGGGGTCTGAGGCCTCGGCGCCAGTAAGAAAACTCCCCCGGCACACGTGACAGCAGGAGATCCTGACGGTCACGCCGCCACAGGGCCTGGCCCGCTGAGAGCGCTCGCTTCGCCCGGAAGCCATACACGGGGTGGTTTCCTCCTCCCTCAAGGCTCACAGGCTCAGCCAGCATCTCCCCCGACCACCAGCTCCCCAGACGAAGGGCCCACTCCGGGCTTACACCCGAGCCCCGTCCCCGGGAGGCGGGAAGGAAGCGGGGAGACTCACTCGGTGTGCCCCAGGCAGAAGGCTTCGATGTTGTGCGGCGCCAAGGCCCAGCTCACCCGGATCTTCTCGTCCCGGTCAGCGGTGAGGACGTAGCGGTCATCGGGGCTCACGGCCTGCGTGCGGGGGTGAGGGAGGGCAGGTCCACTCACGGGACAGCCTGTGCTGCTCCGCTCCTGCCACCCCTCGGACCCCTCCTCTCCAGCCCCCCCACTCCCTGTCCAGGCAGACGCCCTCTCAATACAACTCGTCACCGCCTCCGCCTGCCCGTCTCCAGCGCCCAAGGCACCTCTCCCTCCTTCCCATTTCACATGGCCCCGTGTCCAGCCGGTCACCAGGTCCTGACCCCCCCCCATCATGTCTGCGTGTCCCGGTGGGGACTCACCCCAGCTCCACCACCCGTGGCTGGGCCTCTCGGTGCCTGCGGCCAGACGGCTCCCGGCTCAGGGGCAACACCACGGTGATGCCCGTGAAGCACCAAGAGCAAACCCTGACCAGGTCCTGGCTGTGCGTGTTGTTCTCACGCCCCTCCACCCCGTCACCCCGACCCAGGCCCACCCTCCCACCCAGAACCAGCAGCCCCTCCTCACTCGCCCTCACTCTTCAGGGCTCCACTCCCTCTGCCCCCAAACCTGCAGAGGGCTGCCCCGCTATGGGAGAGCCCACTCCCACCCAGACACTCAGGGTGGCCCTCCCGCCCCCACCCCTGCCCCACCTGAGTCTGACCACAGCCGAGTTAGGCAGCACTCTGCCCACATACCACATCCAGTAGCATCGACAGGTGCCCAAGTTCAAGTCTGCCGCATTCGTGTGGCTCCAGCACTGAAAAGGAGTAAACGTCCCCAGACTTGTCCGCCACCAGAACCTTCTCCTCAGAAGTTGTGAACGTCAGGGCCGTGCACCTCCTCACCACGGTCCTGGGAGGCCAGAGAGACGCCCAAGGCTGGGGGACACGGGTTGACACGGGCCGGCGCGAGATCCTGCGACCGATCTGTCAGCCATGCGTCTGGGGTGGCGCCAGCTGGCCGGCACGCACTGTTCCAGACGCTACCTTGAAATGGCCACTGAAGCCTAAAGAAATGATTTCCCAGCACGCATCCAGACAGGACCCTGTGCTTCTCAGGGCCAGAGGGACAAACGGACAGAAAAGGCCGGAGGATCGCAGGAGGAGACACGATACGTAAACATGGTGAGAAAAATGATGAAACAGAGACAGTCAGTCAGGCCCGGGGCAAGATCCGTCAAACCCCTCCCGGTTCTGTGGCTCCGACAGCGGCCTCTGCTGGCTCCAGTGGGCTAATTCAGCGGCTGTGACAGCCTGGCCACAGCTCTCCGGAGCAGCAGCTGAGACAGTCCTCCCAGAGTGCTGCGCTTGGCTTCCAAGGACCTCGCCCAGCGCGGGGGAATCCAATGTCCCCTTTCCCACACCCCCTGTGGCACCGAGTTTCCACTCGGCTCCACACTGTGGCCCTTTGTCTCACGCCAGACGGGGGCTCTGGGCTGCTCAGGCTCCCTTCCGCCCGGCAATGGTTCTGGCACGCAGCCTGGCTCTGCAGAGTGGGCTCGGGGGTTGGGTCTGGGGAGTCGGGTAGCAGGGGGGAGGGAAAGGGCAGGTCATAAGACAGGACTGGCCTGCCCCAGGGCAAGGCCAGGGCCACAGCAATCTTCAGCCTAAGCAGGGTCTCAGCACTTTCCCCTCCCTTCACGGGGTGACTGGGTTCACAGTCAGCTCCACCGACTCTGGAGCCAAAGTGACCGGGTTCGGGACCTGGCTCTGCCCTTCCAGTCTGAGTGGGATCAGACTGCCTGCCAGTAGATGAAGAGGAGGACAGTGCCCCCACCCCCGTCACGGGCCCTGGGCAAACGACTGGTGCTGTGTGTTAGTTGCATACTATGATTGTTACTGTCACTACTGCTACTGGCATGCACGCGTAAGCTGTGCGCTCGACATTGTAATTATTCAACATTAGCATTTCATACCTGACACTCAGACACTGCCATGGTTTTGTACGGAAAAGAATCAGACGCTTACTGTCATCAGTTAAAGCAAAATAGCTTCCAGACGTGGAGAAGGTGGACGCCAGGATCGTGTCACTCCCCTTCTCCACAGGCTGCCCGTCCTCCCTGAGAAAGAGACGAGAACGGTGAGGCCTCGCCGGAGTCGACACGGCTGCATTCCTCCAGGCCAGCCTCGGCCACCTGAATCGTGAGCCAAGGCAGGAAATGCCGTGAGGTTCACGTAGCCAACATATCGGACCTGCTCGGGGGACATGGGGAGAGTCACACAGTTCTCATGCTTAAGGAGTAAAACCTAAACAGAAAAACCTCTCAGTGAGGACCTTCCGTGACCACACGGCCTACTCCGTCATGGCCGTGAACTAATTCAAGACTAGAGGCAGGGCCCTGGCTGGTGTGGCTCAATGGGATGAGCGACGTCCCACAGACCAAAGGGCCTCCAGTCCAACTCCCAACTCCAGTACAGGCCGTGGGCTGTGGGCTGGGTCCCTGGTTGGGGGCATGCAAGAGGCAACTGATGGATGTTTCTCTCCCTCTCTTTCTCCCTCCCTTCCCCCTTCTCTAAAAATAAATAAAATCTAAAAAAATAAAATTAAATTAAAAAGACCAGAGACAAAGATTAAAACAAGTTTTTAAAAAATAAATGAGCCACAAGATCAATTCTGCTAAAGAAAGTCACCGTATAAAATCATCACACTCTGCTTTTCTTACTTGTCAATGAGCCAAAGTTAATTTCATACACTGCCCCCAATGCCCTTGAAACTGACGGCATTATTTCAACATGCCAATAAAATCATTACTGATAAAAATAAATCATTTTGAAAAGTCCTAATATTTTCAATGCCTAATTTGAAAATTAGCGCCCCCCCCCACCCCAGTTCTTTCCTGGGGTGGTTTATCCACACAGCGAGGTGAAGAGAAATGCAGACTCCAGCGACAGGACGACTCCTTCTTAGGCTCCCAGGTCCCACCGGTCAAACCATGACTGGAGCCCTGAACACACTTCGCCCTCGTCTCACCCTTTATCTTCCTGTGGCTTCTTTTCCGCAGTGGCGCAATCATACACAAAGAGGCTGTCATCGTCACTGAGGAAAAACAACAGAAGGACTTTAAAAGGAGCACTTTGTTCATAAAAACACTCATTGCTTTTACATCCCTGGAACAGAAAAGTATTCTAAAGGTCTTACCCACAACGGGAAACTGTCCGGTCTAGGTACACTACTTCAGGGAACAGTCGCAGAGCTTTATTTGGCCTTATCTGTTCGGATTTGCCGTGTACAACTGGCACAGCTCTGTATACAAATCAGCTTAGGAACATAAGCGAGAACAAAAACTCAACAAGAACTAATGCACTATTCTCGCAGGCACTAGGACAAAATGGTTCTGTTGGATGAAACTGTGTTCTGATACTATTTGCGGCGGGTATTCTGTACCCAAATTTAAAACTACCATTTCCTGCTTGGGAAAAATGTCTCACCTACCGAAAAAAGCTCCCATGACTGCCAAGCACCAACCAATACAGGCGCCAACTGTCTCTCCCACCAGACCCGAAGTTCTCTGCGGCTTACCCTACTCCCACCCCCAGTGCTTGGAAAAGGGGAGGCATCTTGCACAAACCTACAGCCTAAAGGGACTGTACTTTAAACTCTTCTCGCATGGAACACTGAAGCATAGAAAAGAGAAATAGTCCTCCAAGTCAGAAACCGTGCTGGCCGCTAGTGAAGCAAGCACATGGGTGTCTCCCTGTGCCACGTGTTAGCTACTGGGATCCTCTTCCAGGATGTCCAACCTGCAGCCCGTATGAGGCCAAGAATGGCTAAGAATGTGGCCCAACACAAAATCATAAACTTACTTAAAACATTACGAGGTGTACGTGTGGGCGTGTGTGATTATGTGTGGCAGCGTATTTAATGTGTGGCCCAAGACAATTCTTCCAGTGTGGCCCAGAGCTGCCAAAAGGTTGGATGCCCCTGCAAGGGAATCTGGGATACATGCCAGGTTTGTGAGTAAACTTTGTGCAAAAACCTTAATTTAACACCGAGGTGGCTTTCTGAAGCCAACCACTGAACACTGACGCTGCCGGTGTACCTGTTAGACACGTCATCTGTTTCACCTGCGAGAATCGAATCCCTGGGATAAGAAACAAGGGGCAGGCACTGACCACAACTAATACCCATGAGGCTCCCGAGGCAAGCCTACTAGAGCAACAAACATTTCCTAATTTAAAAATCCCGGGCATAGTGTACACACTGGGGAACGATAAGGAAGGAGGGTTAAATTGGGGAAAAGCAAAAGCAGAAACGTGTGACCGGCCACTAGGGAGTTGAGCTCAGCGGCCTCCGCACCCTCGAGGACGGCGTTGTAGCATTAAGACCTTCGACTGCTGAAGAGTAAGTGGAGCAAGGGGTCGACGGATGCTGAAGGGCATATGAGGCAGCAGGTCCCACCGCAAAGTGAGGGAGTGCGCCCGGAGATCAGTAAGCCCCACTATGTTCCCAAAGAGTAAATCCCTGCAGCGAAGCAGGCCGAAGCAGGCCGGGGCCGCCTTCCTCCCTACGTTCGGGCCTAGAGGGCGTGCCCAGGACGCCGCATTGGCCCCAGCCTGGCCCTCCTTGTTCCCCAGTAACCGGGTCCCGCCTAGACTCCGCAGATCTCTGCAAAGAGCGCCCCAGACAGGTCACCGAGGGGGCGGGGCCCTAGGCAGGGAGCGATCGGTGCTCTGGGAGCGATTCTTGGCAGGAGGGCTGAAAGGACTGACACTCTAGGGCGGGGCAGGCACGCAGCCGGGCCGGGGCGGCAGCAGAGGCCCGAAGGCACTGGCGGGGCTCCTGGGAGGCACCTCAGGGAAACTGGGGTCTCCAGGCCCGGACGCGCACCCGCAGCATCGGTTCACTGCTGCAAGCCCAGACCCCTCACCTGCTTGCAGTGGTAGTGGCCAGGAACCGGCTGCCTCCCCGCACCACCACCGCCTGCCCGCATAGCGCCAGCCCCGCGGAACTAGCCATCAGCCGGGTCCTCGCGCCTCTACCCACGTGCGCAGCTCAGCCCCTCTTCCTGACGGCGCCGGAAAGTGACGTTCGCGCGGACGCCTCAAGGTGACGTAATCCCGGTCCGCCGCCGCGGAAGCTGGAGCCCGGAGCATGCGTAGAACGTTCTCCGCGCGCTCTCTCCGTCCAGTAACCCTGGTTTCGTATCTCCGCAGGTCTGGGTGTGTTGCTCACGCAGTTTGTTGGGGTGAAACTTGCACGCCACACATGGTAACGCTGCTTAATGTGGGTCTTTTCCTCCAGAATGAGTAAGGACGTTTCGGGATCTTTCTCGTGCTGTAGCTGGACCTGCTAGGTTCTCAGTAAATAGTCCTTCAAGAAATGTGAGGGATGGAGTTAAGATCCAGGTCCAGGACGTGGTGTCGGCGCGCGGGAAGGGAGCCCTCCGTAACCTGTGCACCGAGACAAGCCATAAGCGCCCCGGGTGCTAGTTTTCAACCCAAGATAGGGTTCGTTCAATATTTGCTAAGTAAATAAATGCGACAACTAATTGTTGCTAATAGAGTGGCATCGCCAGTCACCAATTGAACAGATTTCTCGGGACTCGTGGTCCCCGCATTACACATTCTTCATCTACTCCCATTTCTCTCCTGGACGCCCCTTCGCTCCATCTCCGTGCCTTTTGCCATCACCCAAACCACAACAGACCTGCTGCTGGCCTCCACATCTTCTGTTACCCAGAGACCCACTTCTCACACTACAGCCAGAGAGAGATTTTTGCGCCATACATCCGATCGTTTCACCCCCCTGCTGAACCCCAAAAGTGGTTTCTCATTGCTCTCAATATAAAGACGAAATCCCAATCGTGCACTGTGAAACTACATGCGGTCTGGCTCCAACCTGCCGCAGCCTTCCCTTCTCCTGCTCAGGCCGTGACTGCCCCTCCAGTTCATTGGCCCAATGCCCTTACTAGCCACGGGCCCTTAGTGCATGCACTTCTGCCTGCCTGCCTGCCTGCCTGCCTGCCTGCCTGCCTGCCTGCCTGCAACGATCTCCCCACCACCCATCTTTTCACTGTCCCTAGTTAATTCCAGTCACTCCGTTTCATACCAGTGGAGCCCTCACTTAATGAGGGAAGGTTTCTCTGACCTTGCACTGTTGGCATTCACAGCTCCATGATTACTTGTTTAACGTCTGTAACCAGACTGCAAACACCATGTGGACCGGGACCTGATACCTACTTTTGCAGGTCACTGTCGTCCCAACTTGCAGCACAATACCTGGCATGAAATCAGTGCTCAATCAATATTTGTAAATAAATGGAACAACTAATTGACTGTCTTAAAGGAGCAGCTATGTTTATCTATGAGGAAGAGATAGGCAGGAGGCTTAACGAACTAGGAGAATGCTGACCCAAACCCACTTCCTGTTCAAACAAGGATGAACCTACACCCAAAATTAAAGGTAGCTGCTGCTGGCAAAGCAGAATGCTTGGGGGAGAGCTGGGCTTCCTTCAAGTCGATGAGGTAAATGGGAATTTTATGGAGGCAGGAATGGAAGACAGCTTGTGTACCATGGGATGAAGGACACAGAGGGTAAGGGGAGTGGTGGGGAAGAAGGGGCAAGTGAAAGACTAACACATTGCAAGGGCGAGGTCACCAATGGAGGGGGTGACACTGGGCAGTAACCACAGGGGAAAAGGAAACGTGTTTCTGAAAGTGAATCTGCTGCAAACATCACTGCTATTCAGCTAACCTGACTGGCACCATGAAAGTTTGTACTCATGGTCTGGGACATTTTTCAGGCACACATGGAATTTACACAGTTTCTGTTCTGGATGGGATGACAACTCCGAGACCACAGAGGTTCCAGAGGGACTCGTCATCCATCACCAGGCTCGTGAACAGATGAAGCTTCCTTTATGTCGTGGTTTAGATCTCACAGAATGTTCCACAACACACATCACGACAGATACAATGAACTATGATTGCGTATTTAAACTGACCTGAAAGCTTTGCTACCTTCGTGCTATAGGTCGCAGCCTTGAGAAATAAGCACAATAAAAAAAAAAAAAAAAAACGTTGCTTGGAGACTGAATAGTAAAGATTGAGGAG